CTTTGAATCCAAAAGTTGAGATGAAATCCTCAGAACCCAAAAGAATGTATGCAGTGAAGTCGAAGCCCCAGCCAAAGGTCTTGACGCCCAAGTTGGAACATGATGATTCCGATTCATATGAATATGACTATGAGTATTCTCCCACTGGTTTCATGGCTGTGCGTTTTGATTCCAACGTTGATTTGACAGTCCATCCTGATGAGAGGAGGACCATGAGCAAGAAACACAGAAAGATGGTGTTGGAAGGTATCAACAATCTCAACAACCATGATCGTGTGATGCAATCCAGTCTTGGGATGCAGCCTCAAGTTTCCAACGGGACTTCAGGGGTTGCAGTCATCACGTCACATCCGACTCTTTTCCAGGATCTTTTTGAGCACACCTATGACGTCGGCGTGAATGCCGCGTATTTGGACGGTGATGCTGAGCCACGTGGTTGGAGTGACATGTTCGAGGGTTGCACATTGATCATTGTTGCAATTGAGTACAGGTCAGAACATTATCCACTGTGCCATGGGGATCTTGTATTTGAGTTGGAACAGTATGTATTGTGATGCCACAGGGTGTAAGTTTCTCATTGTTGATGTCGCGCACACTGAACGATGGGAAATTATTCAAAACACCACAGATTCCATATATCAACGAAGTTGGTCTTGCTTTTGTGTCAAATGATGATGAACTCATTCAAGGTTTTCAGAACTGGTCTATGTGTCGACAATTGGATGACGTTTTGAATTGGGAGTTTTGTCAATGGATTCGTGATTGGTCACTTGAGCGTGAATTGGAGGATCAGATGAGCGTTGCTTTCCCAGCAGAGATCATTGAAGAGGCTCAGGAACATGGTGGGAACTGGGATGCAGTCGATGGCCCAGAAGATGTTGCACTGCAGGATCCGGTTGAGGACCTGACACATGAAGAGACTCTTTTAGATGATGTTGATATCCCTGGTTTGCCAGAGGATGAATCAGAAAGACGTAGGTCTTGGCGTAAACTTCCCCAGCGTGTCAGGATTTCTGTGCGTAGGTTGCACAGGGCTTTTGGACACGTCCCCAAGTCGGTGATGGTCAATTTGGTGCGTGCTGCAAAGGTGAGCAAGGAGTTTGTTGATGCAGTAAAGTTGCATAGATGTGAAACATGTGAGAAAACATCAGCAAAGAAACCCACTCACAGAGTTACGCTTCCAAGTGATTATACATTCAACCATACTTTGGGGATTGATGTACTGGAATTGACAGATGTAACTGGACAGAAGTATCAAGTTCTCAACATGGTTTGCATTGGTACTTGTTTTCAACAGGCCGAGGTCGTGAAGGTTGGAGCAGGTCAAGCTTCTTCGCGATCCTGTTTGAACGCACTTATCAAACGTTGGTTCAGTTGGGCAGGACATCCTGTTGCTATCATGTGTGATCGTGGTTTGCACAATCGTGGTGTCTTGCAACAATACATGGATGAACACAACATTCAAGTGCACCATGTGCCCCTTGAGAGCCCGGAATCATTGGGCCGAGTAGAGAGGCATGGTGGTTTGTTGAAGGCTCTTTTCAGACGAGTGTGTACAGAAGTTGGGGCTTGTACCAAAGAACAGGTTGAGTCGTGCATCACACAGGTGCTCAGTGTGAAGAACGACTCTGCACGTGTTGGAGGTTTTTCTCTATCTCAGTGGGTGCTTGGTCGAGCTCCCCGTGGTGCAGCTTCACTCATGTCAGAGGAAGATCATGCGCAGCTCGGTGCCATTCAGGCCCGACATGATCCTTCGTCAATTTTTGCATTGCAACACTTGGCCAGGATTGAGGCACAAAAGGCTTTTGTTCACCTTGATTGTTCAAGAAGAGTTCAACGAGCGTTGACTCATTGACACGCAATGCCAGTGTGTTTGATCGTGAGTTCAACATTGGTGACCTCGTCACTTTCAGACGAGACAATCAGCGAGGAGGAACGTCCTGGTCACCAACATGCCGAGTGATCGGACACGAGAACCAGAAGAACATATGGTTGCTATGTGGTAACGTTCCAGTACTTGTGGCTTCTCACAACATACGCGTTGCTTCTCCTTCTGAAGCTCTTGATCAATCAGTGTTGAACGGTGAACCTGTGATTCCATACAAGATCATCAATGATACAGGTCAACAAGCGTTTCTTGATGCAAGACAAGCAGATGAGGTTGAAGTTGTTCGTGAAGGTCCAGGACAAGCAGACGATGTTGAAGATGTCCATGAGGACAATGCACTTCCCCCTATACCAGAAGTACCTGAAGATGAATGGGACATACGGCCCGGTTTCTTTGAAGAAGATGAGGAGGAGGAAGATACAGGTCCAATGGAAGAAGACATCTTCTCACAGAGTAGAACCCCAGAGAGAAGAGTTGAAAGACCACATCCAGGAGATGGAGGTCATGAACGCAACGTGAGACCTCGAGTAGAGTCTCAGTTACAACCTGAGTCGGAGAGAGGCTCATCACTTGTGCCATCTCGAAGAGACTCCTTTGTGCCTGATCTTACTCCAAGTGGCTCCGTTTCGGGGGCGCCACCTTTTAGTAGTTCAGTTTCAGGTGCATTAGCTTCATCGTCAGCGTCATCTTGGCCATTACGAAGGGAACTTTTGAATGACTTACCACATCAATTGCGGACACATCTTGAAAGAGCTCGTGAGAGAGACTCCGAACGAAGTCCTGAAGAACAACAAGAAGCACGAGCATTGTTTGCATCATTTTTGTTTCAGGAAGTTGGAGTTCCTGAGGACGAAGAGCTAGGTAAGAAAGTGTTGAAATCAATCCACTATGAATCAGCGCCACCTGATGTACAGAAGAACATCATGGATGCCAGAACCAAGGAGTGGAACAAGTTCCTTGAGTTCGCGGCTGTTGTTGAAATTTCAAAAGAAGATGCTGAGAGGTTGATTGCTGAAGGGCATCAATGTATTCCTAGCAAGTGGGTTGATGTTGATAAGAACCAATTTATGAAGGGAAGAACAGACCAAGAATATGTGCCAAAGTTCAAAAGCCGGTTGGTGTCATGCGGCAATTTCGAAGTCAGTGAAGGTTTGAGATCAGACAGTCCTACAGCAGACACGGAAGCTCACAACATTCTTTGCTGTTGGGCGGCGATCCAGGGTGCACAATTGCACAGTGCGGACGTCGCATCCGCATATTTCCAAGGTCGTCCTCTTGACAGAGTCCTCATTATGAGACAACCCCGAGGAGGTCTCCTGGGAGTTGATCCAGAGGTCTTTTTCCTTGTGAGAGTGCCTGTGTACGGATTAACTGACAGCGGTCGAGGTTTTTGGTTGAGACTGGACGGAGATGCCCGATCCAGTGGCTTGAAACAATCCAAGTTTTACCCAGGATTGTATTTTCTTCCAGGAACCGACAAAGATTGCGTTGCACTTATGGCGACTCATGTAGATGACATCTTGTAAGCATACATTCCTGAGGGAAAGTCAGTGATCGACAGCTTCTTGGAGAAGTTCAACTTGGGATCGAGTGAATCAAATTCGTTTCGCTATTGTGGCAAGCAATTTGAGCGTACAACAGATGGAACAATCACACAAGACACTTGTGACAACACCCGTCGCATCAAGCCGATCAAAATCGCGCCAGGAAGATCAGCGTCCGAGCCGTTGGGTAAGGATGATGTGACCCGATTACGATCTGTAACGGGATCATTGGCATGGGTGGCAAGACAGACTAGACCCGATTTGGGTTATCGTGTGAGCCGCCTACAGTCCAGTATTTCTGGAGCGACAGTTGCTATTTTGCACGACGCAAATGCCGTAGTACAGCTGGCACAACAAGGCATTGAGAACAAGCTCATTTTTCCAGGTGGACATCTAACCTGGGGAGAGATTGGTATCATTACAGTAACAGATGCTTCATTTTCAAACGAGAAGAACTACAAATCACAACAAGGACGTTTCCATTTCCTTGGAGACATCAATGAGATCAAAGACCCCAAGACTACATCCTATAGGGTGATGCCATTGGGATTTGCATCAAATACAATTCGGCGAGTATGCCGCAGCACTCTTCAATGCGAAGCTTATTCACTGCAGGCTGGACAAGAGAGCGGTGACAAGCTACGTGGAGCATTGGCCGAGCTGATGGGCCAACTTGACTCGATGAAAACATGGTTGGATGACAGCCGCAGCTGCATTCCACAACTGATGCTTTCAGACTGCAAGTCTTTAACAGACCATCTTGCGAATGAGGTACTTGGCAGGGTCGCAGACAAACGACTCGGCATTGAGTTGCAGTCGATTCATGAGTCACTTTGGCAAGACGGCCGGAGGACCTGGGATATGCATCATGGCGGAGGAGACATCGTTACCTGGATTGCTACAGGAACTATGGTCTCGGATGCTCTGACCAAGAGCATGCGCCCGGACCTCATTATCCGCGTCTTGAAGGAGTGCATGTACCGTGTACAGAAGAAGCCTTAGAGCCAACTTTTTTCACTAGCATCATGTGATCCTTGAAGAACAGGTTGAGTGTGAGTTTGACCTGTCTAATGTATATTTTTGTATAGCCAAGTGATCACATGTCCCCGATGACATTTGGCTTTAGGGCCCTTGAGTCATACCGCGCTGCCGTGGTAAAAGTTGGGCACTAACGATCCCGTTTCCAATTCAGACATGTATGTATGTACTTATGTATGCATACATACCCATATATGAATACACACACACATATAATATACATATATATATATATTTATATATATATATATATATGAAATGCCCAAGAATGCATAGAAATATAAATATGGACATGGATGTAAAGATGCATACACACAAACACACATATATGTATTTTTACAGATGGTTATATCTCAAACTGAGGTGCCCTTTTTAGCCACCAAAATGTATCTTTAAATAATCAACAAATGGCATCTCATTCTGAGGGTCATACAAACTTATATGTTTTTTACTCACTGGGGAATAAAGTTTTGAAATCTGGAATGCCTATGCGTCCACGATCATAAAACTATTCCTGCCCTGAAATTGAGGTACCAAAAACCCTGTTCCAGAAGAAGTTCAAGAGAAGCGTGCCGAAGCTGAGATGGGAGCCTTGGTATGTGGTAATATTGTGTAGCCCTCAACAATTTATCAATATACTGTCATCAAAACATATGATCCTTGCGGGATAATTCTTTGGTTTCATTCGGTTCTTTATCACTTTTCATCATCAGTGAATCTGCAGCCTATCTGTTTGATGAGCACTCCCTGGATTTGAAGTTCCTACATAGATGCGTTCAAGAAAGGAACGTCCCCCTAAAAAAACGGTGGTGATCAAGAATTCAGGAGTTTGAGGGTCCAGTACCTAGCTGTGTTCTTACAATCACTCATGGTCATAGGAGTTCAATCTGCACTAAGTCGAATCATTCAGCCACCTTGCCAACCAAGAAAAGAACGGCAAGAACAAGATGCACGAGCTCTACATGGCTTGGGTGAGTTGCAAGGGTTCATGGGAGAAGTGTGCTCTTGACTTGAGGGTCTCCAAGAAGAACGTTTCTGACCATGAAGATTTGTTTGAGTTCCTACTCAAGCCAGACCTTGTGAAAAAATTGGGAGAACAAGCGCTAGCGGATGATCTTGTCACACGTCACATTGAAGCAGAGAAGAAACTCCCTCCAAAGAGCAAAGGTCGGTTCATCAAAGTGAGACTAGGATTCAACTTATGGTGTAGCTGCGCCGTTTAGAAAATCATGCGTGTGCAAAATCTGAAAGTAAATACTGGTTGATGGGAAGTGAAATTGATTGTTGTTTTATGATATCTTTGCACAATGTCCTTCTCCCTCCATCCACCCAGCTGTGCTGAGGAAGCCTGACTTTCCACAGAGAGAAGACCTTTGGAGGTACAAGTGCTGGGTGGGTGCCAAGGAAAAGAAGAGACAACGACATGAGTCCTCTGCTACCCTTTCTAGAACGGCAGAAGTGGAGGAAGACAGTTTCTATGCGACCATGTCCTTAGGCTGAATTATTATCCCTAGAATCACCTAATTTAAGAGTAAATGAAGTTCTGTCCAACCACTCCTGGGGGGTCATGGTTACGATGTGTTTGTTCAAATTGGTTATGCCCAAATGGATGATGAGAATTAATTATTGGACTCTTTTTAGCAACCTGAAACTAAGGGACGCTGCATTGGAAGAAGGATTTGATGCGGCCCCTTGCATTGCTCCAAAGTCAGCAATGTCCAAGCCGAAGCCGATGGCGAAGCAAAAGACCCCGAAGCAGCAGTTGGAATCTGCACCCCAACTGCAATTTTAGGTTGGTGTTATTTGTCACCCTGTAGATTGCTGCCAATAGACTTGGGAAGGTTGTTTTTGGGCAACCCCGAAAAGGTGAAAGGATCCAATTTTGGGGCAATAAATCACCCTGGGCCATGTCATATAGTTTTGGGGATCTTGGGGGAACTGAAAGGCTCCAAATTTGGTTCAAAAAATCACCCTGGGCCATGTAATGTGTATTATAGTTTGGGGATCTTGGGGTATCTACTAGTATATCCTATTGTATAATTACTTGATAGCTTCAAGGGCCAACTTCAAGTTGGCACATACGCACAAAGCTTTTCTTTGCATGGGCATGGGCATATATATATATATAGGTGTGCAAGTACATATTTGCAACATATACATATATAGACCTATGTGTAAATTTAGCATATATGTGTGTATTTAAATATATATATATATAAAGACACAGAGTAATGTTTCTAAGGTGAATTAAACCGACCCCAAAGATATATATATATAATATATATCACTATATATTATATATATATATGTGTGTAAAACTAGCTTTATCTATTTGCAACCATGCTCAATATAATTTTGGTTCACCCCATTTACATTGAAGATCATCACCTCTCCTTGGAGGCTGTGAGTTCTGCGAGCAGATTGGTGACCGACAGCCAGCTTTTGCAGGCCAAGCTCCAGGAGGCATTGCCCGTGCAATTGTTTCTTGGTTGCAATGTTGCTATCAAACCCAAAGATGTTTCCCATGATAAAACTAAAAGTATGGGCTCCCACTCTTTAATTGAAGCCCTGTGAACTGTGGCACCCGGCACCAGGAGTCAAGCGTACAAATCTGCGCTGTTGGCTGACCTGAACACAGCTTCCAAGAAGGTGCAAACCGCAAAGGACGTTGCCGTGAATGCTTTGGCGAAACAGACTGACTTTGACCAGCCCCTGAAGGATCTTCAGCTAAACAGTGTGGCTATATGATGGGACTGCATTCCTGTAGAACATATTTATAGGGATACCTTGTGAAATAATATATACACATTTCAAGCCCTGCGCCAAATCTTCCAAGGGTTTGACTCACGAGTTGAATGTCTACAAGAAGGTTTCTGCCACAGTGAACGGCCATCTGAAACCCAAAGCAGCTGCCAAGGCAAAGGGGAAAGCAAAAGCCAGTCCAAAGGCTGCTTGATAGTGTTTTATTGAAAGGCGCTTGCACCAGACCAATGCGCTATTGAATCAGATTATATCTATTTGCGTCCTTGCAACGTGCCCTGTACTGTTTCAGCCCTTTTGGTGAACGGGCCCCTCCACTGACAGCACCCACCTCTGTTGTTTGATCCTTTTGCATCTTCAGGATGTTCAGATTTCTTTGAAGCCTGGCTGGCGTACACCAGCCGGGAATGTGCAACTGAAGGGCTTTTGGGCGAGAGCTGGTCAGTGCACGTTGCTGTGTCTTCAACACAATTCGATTAGAAGCCTGTGAGTGGGGATGCGAGGCAGCAGGGCTCTACTTGTGTGAAAAATCATGAGAAATCATTACTGCAATCCTCTTTCAGATTTTGTTTTAATGGCATTGCGACTGCCGAATTTGTCACATGCTCAGCCCTGCTCACAGGAAATTCGGGTGTTGAAACTCTTGAGCTCGAGATCAAAGCTTTTATGCAAAGGGGATGGAAAAGCCCACATGCCAAGTTTAGCTAATTTGGGAAGATTTTCAGGGAAAACCCCTTCCAGAAACTAAGGTTATTTGACTGGGTGAATTCTAACATTAAAAAAATGTAATATAAGGGTTTAAGTTTAGCACTTTTCGAGCATCCCTCACCTGAGAAAGATTTTTTCACCCTTTGCATCAATCCATGTCAAACATGTTCTAGTATCCTCCCAACGCAGGTGACGCAGCAGCCTCATCCACGCAGGATGCAGACTTCGCTTCAAGCCTGCTGCATGGCTGGCGCAGAACATTTTCCAGAAGTAGGTGGTGGTGGCAAGTTCTGCCAAGAAATCCTTATTACCGTTTGGTTGGTGGATTGGTTGGTGTCATTGTTTTCAACCAAAATAATTAGCAATCCCAAGGCTTGATCGTCTAGGGGGAGGACGTGAGAGTGCGAAGAGTGCAGTTGAACAAGCTCATGCTGTTGTAAAGGTCTGGGCCATTCGTTAGAAAAATCAATTTGAATGTGGGTATCTATTTGGGATTCTTTGGTTTCAATGGGGCATGGACAACAGATAGGAAATTGCATGTTTCAAAAGCACAACATAGTGGTATGATTATTGGGCATCGTTTTCAATGGTCCCATTTGGTCCCTGATAGGAGGCTGGGGAAGAAAATTGCCATCCTGTCACGAAACAAATAGCAAAGTGTGCAAAGCGAAGCGTGAAACATCACCATCGAGATCTATTCAGGTTCATTCGGTTACCCTTGGACATTGTTTGGATTGATTGCCCAGTATGTGACCCGGGATCTAACTCACAATCTTGACGTGTATTTGATCAAGCTCTTCCGATGTATGACCCACATGAAATGCTACACTATTTGCATTCCACTGGTCGTATACGCTTTTCAGATGCAGAGATTGAGAACCTTGGATCATAACGTATGAGTCATGAAGTACAGCTAAAATATGTCCCTCTTTTGGTGGCCAAAAAATTCCATAAGACCGCACTCTGCGCAATGTTGTGTTAGCTAAACCTTTCCGCCCAAGGAGATATTGGCACCACTGGACTCAAGTTGCTGATGCTGGGTGGGCTCACCGTCACCCGGGCAAGGGCTACATGCTAACAAGTGTGTATGGGGATGAGGCGAGGTACAATTTGACTTATGGTGACAAATTCATAGCTTTGACCCTTGGATCACCTTTGCTATGGAAAAAAGACACCTTGGAAATAGTTTTAGAGTCAACCGGTTTAAATTTGATGTTTATATACCCATTAATTGTTATCACCAATTTAAGTTGAATGTGGGTCCTGTCAAATAATTGCGTTCCTGGTCTATATTCCATATGAGGTGCCAACGCAGACAACTTCTTCCCCACATTGACGTGTGGGGTTTTTGTTTTTAGTTCTGTATCCGCTCCTCCTCGTCCTCCTCGTCCTCCTTCCCGTCCTCCCTCCCTCCCTCCTCCCTCCCTCCCTCACTCACTCACTCACACTCACTCCCCTCCCTCCCTCACTCACTCACTCACTCACTCACACACACACTCACTCACTCACTCACTCACACACACACAAACAAACACACACACACTCACTCTCTCACTCACTCACTCACTCACACACTCACTCACACACTCACTCACTCACTCACTCACACACACACACTCTCACTCACTCACTCACTCACACACACACTCTCACTCACTCACTCACTCACTCACTCACTCACTCACTCACTCACTCACTCACTCACTCACTCACTCACTCACTCACTCA